GGTTGTTTCTCTTTATGTTTTAACTCCAGGTGAGTTTCTCCGCCCTGTCAACACCCTGGCTAAGCTCACACCTCTGAGATATTCCAGAAACTTGCTTTCAAATGCAGCGCAGTGCAATGTGGGCTTGTTTACACCACAACCATGTAGATGTGGCAGCAAGCTTTGTTTTGGTGGGAGCATTAGGGACTGTGAGAAACTCTGAGTTTCCGAGCAGATTACTGAGACGGCTTTCAGATCACTGATGTGTGCGTGAGCGTTTCTGGTTCTCAAAACAGCCCAAACAGAATGATTCTTCCCTTTTCTGACTGTGTGGCAGTATTTATGAATTAGAGGGGGAAATGTGAGGCTTTGATGGGTAAAAGTTTATAAACTAACTGTAGAAAGAGCCATTAGTGTGACAAATCTGAAATCTGGTCATAGGAACAGTGTATGAAACACAAAATATTGCATAATAAATTAATGTTTTGATCGTTTCAGCCTTATATTTTCTTGTGTTTACAGTTTATGATGTATGCCCCACATTTGTTTCCTGCTCTTGTGTATTTTATCATGGCACCACATACCAGGGGCGTGTCCAGGGAGTGGCCTGGGGTGGCACATGCCACCCTTGGAATCTGATTGGCCACCCCAGGCGCCACCACACTAATTTACCTTTAAATAGGCTTTTCATTGTCCAAAAAAGGCTTGGAGGTAAAACCAAAAATAGCATAATCATTGGTGCCACCCATGCACAAAGTTGTGCCTCACCTGGGCCACCCCATTTTAAAAGATCTGGACACGCTACTGCCACATACAGTCCTGGCATGGTTACTACAGCTTTTTTAAATGAGTGAATTTTCACGTCGATCAACACCTTCTTAGAGTAGGCCCAATGCTAACAGGTGTGTGAGGGTATTTTTGACACAATGCTTTTGGAGAAACCTGAATCCTTCCGCCAATCCACAGAAACACACCGTGGTCCCACGCTGATCGATCAATGCATCTGAAAAATTCAGATTTTTTTGTGAATTTTTATCTTTTAAGTTTAGACATATCAACTGTGAAATACACGGAAAGCCTCCAGCCAGGTGATGGTGTTGTCATTATTGCTAGGATGGAGGCAATAATAAATAAAACAACAAATTGGGCATCGTATCTAACAGAATGATCCAAATGTTGTCTTTTTAATTAAATATTGGAAAATATGACAAAGTCTAAAACTAAAGAACAAAAACAACGAATGTACACTAATGTAAACAGTTCGCTGTAGAAATCTGAGCTTAGGTTTTCATTGCAGAACTACAATAAAAGACTCATTACTGTTAATCTGGGAATAATTTAGTAAATTAACCAAGTGTTTCCCAGAAAGTGAGCAAAAACTTTTTTTTTATAAACTTTATGTCTGAGAATGTTCATTGCAGAAGCAGAGAGGGAAACGTGGCTGAAACAGACAACAAACCACATGCTGCACTCCAGTTCACAAGTGCGACCACATTACAAGCACATGAAGCCCACAATAAACAGCATAATGATGCTCAACTTTTTTTAGATGCATGTCGTGCCAACGGCACACAGTGGTGCATTAGCAACTATTAGATCCACTCATGTCAAGGCCATAACAGTGTGTTTCATTAGCCTTATTTATAAGACAGCAGGCTGTGCATTAGGGGAGTTTAGGGTTTTAATATGTGGTCTCAGGGTTTTCAGCTTTAATGCTCTCTTCTGATTTCCATCAGCTCGCTCTGTCTTCTCTTGTTAGAGCCAGTTTAGATTTGATGTCTAATTAAAGAAAACAGGGAAAATAGTCAAAAGAAACAAGATAAAAGATGTGATGATGGCCAATTCTGCTGATTTGTTCTCCACAATATTAAAACGATGTTAATTTACTTTAGATTAGAATCTGTAAATTGCTATCACATGAATTTGATGAATGGGGAGAAAACAGGAAATCAGAGCAGATAAATGTGGAGGCAGCATTAATTGTCAGGGTAAATATTCGATAAACTCAACAGGAACAAGGTTAGGGACCTATGGTAGAAAAAAGAATTCCTGCTGGGAAAATGTTTGCTTAATAATAATAATAATAATAATAATAATAAATTATTATTATTATTATTATTATAAAGCAGGCCTTGAGTGAAGATCCTTGTGCTTGTTTTAGTTGTAGCTGGCTAGCTACATAGCTACGTGCTGTTATGACAGCAGATCCTCACTACACGGGACAAATTCCTAATTATTCACAAGTTGTGCCAAATAAAACTAAAATATCTCAAAAACTAAACATCACATATGTAATATTATGTCATTTTGAGAAAGAGGAGATGAAGCCAAAGAGTTTGATGGGTAATATGTGCAAGGTATGTAAATGTTGGGTCATTATGAATAATAACAGATACTGATATTTTCCATTTTTACATTTTAAGGCCAATATCGGTCGATAACATTGGTAGTGATATCAGACATCCCTATTTACTGTCCCCAAACCATCATATTTATATCATTTTGCTTTAATGTTTTTCAATATTTGTCAAATATTTCACAACATGAACTCAAATCTTGTACCTTTTCTTCATTTCCGACGATAAATTAATCAGTGAAGTATTTTTATTGTGGGGTTTTATTTACACACACACACACACATTGTCTAGCAGAGGTGTGACCAAGTCACTGCTTTGCACGTCTCAAGTAATTCACAAGTCTTTCCAGTCAAGTCTCAAGTCAAGTACAAGTTAAAGACAACCAAGTCCAAGTCGAGTCCAAAGTCAATGATGTGGAAGTCCAAGTCCTTAACTTTGACATTTCAAGTCATAATCAAGTCATCTGTCAAACTTCAATTTATTGACAATGATAATAAATAAATTCCAGAAATAAAGTTTCTTAAAGCTTCATTTATTTGCTCAAACAAGCAGAAAGTGAAACTGATTATAAACAAAGTGCTGCTGCATGTAGCCGTACAAAATCAAACCCAGAACCAAGAATGATTTATGATTTTTGTCCACGATGTTCAAGTCATCATCAAGTCAACAGATGCAAGTCGATTCAAGTCATAAGTCTTGTCCCTAATGGACAAAATAGAAACTGCACCAGGGGAACAAATCCCTTTGTCCTCCTTTGTGAAACTGTTAATAAATTAAACCCAAAGCTGCAGGTTTGGAGTCATATTCTTTTCAGTGACTCACAGACATATCTGACTCGTGTCAAACCACAAGAGGGATCTATTTGCTGCTGATCGGGTTAAATTTATCTAGAAAAACCTCTGGCTTCAAGTCCGTGTTTAAACATCAGAGGGAAGTCGTTTCTATATGTGGGTCAAGAGTTGATCAAATAGGGGAGCGGAGAATCTGGATGTAAACACAACCGCATCGCTCATGTTCCACGCTAATTAATCTTATTTGCGACGCATCAAAGGTCAGATAAGCTGGTCACTACTGCCGCTGATAAGGAGGCACCCAGCAGAGGAGGAGTAAACAAAAAAAGGCTTTGGACTGTCTCACTCTTACTGCTGTTTTAGATGCTTTAAAAATAACCACAACCAGGCGCGGGAGATGTCAGGATCATAGATCAGAAAGGATCTGAATGCAGAAGCAAAGATCAGATTGTTTCCACCCGGACCCTTTTTGATGTGGGACATTCTAATCCTGCTCACTGATGTGTCTAAATGAAGGGAGGTGAACTTCACTAAAGATGTGGATCATTGATTTTTACTCCTTAATTATATTAGCTGGTTCAGTTGTGTTCATTGCTTTTAAATAATATTAGTAATTTAATTATATTTGCCTTTTTACTGTAAATACCATAGAAGAATTTTCTTATTTCTAACTGCACAGGTTGCACGTCATGTAGCTGTTATGATCAGATGTGATCATAAATGATCATAAAACATGATGAAAATACGTACAACAACCATGAGGTAATATTTTGTACAACTTTTGGCCGAAGGAAGCCCAGAAAAGAAGAAGCGTTTTCTTGGATGATGCACAATGAGCACATTTTCATTTCTAAAATGTACTAATTACAGCTCTCGCTCCTGAGCGTCGCACCTCACTCAGAGAGGGATGTTTACCGGTACTTCTAAATCTGCCTCCTACCTCAGATTCCCCAGATTATCATCTGTTCTCCAACTTTGTGTGCTGCCTAAGCTAAAAGAGCCTTCAGGAACCAATAGGAGAGTCTGCGTGAAAGCCAACGGGATGCCAGTTGCTGAAAGCGCATGCCAAGGCAAAGGCAGCAGATAGTAAGGACTGGTGCAGCAGGAATCAGAGGGCACGGTGAAAGGGAAAACCCTCATGTGACAGAGAAGGGAAAACCAGAAGAAGCTTAAATTCCTCAGCAAACTTCAGAGAAACTACGTCTCCTGATGAGACTTTTCTCTCAGCCCCCAGGAATCAGAAGGCGGTGAACCTTATAGAACATCTTCTGCTTCACCTCCACTGCCCTCACTTTCCCCCTTTATTCTCCTTCTGCTCATCACATGAAGTTTCGCTTACAAGACAGTGGAAAGATGCTCATTTCTCTTTGTTAAAGATAAAAATACAATCTCTCGTTTTTGCTGCCTTTCTTGTCCAGCTGTGCCGACAGCCTCTGTGTTGATGAGGCAGCTGCTAAAGGCCAGTGGCAACAAAATACGTTCTTAAGAGAACATGAATATTTGAAGAGGCGTTCAGAAGGAGGGATGGGAAAAAAAGCCTTGAACTCAGTGTCCAAAACATGAAAAGAGAGAAAGCAGTGATGGTGATTTAAGGCGGGGACATGAACAAACATTTCCTCATATCTACCCATCTCTAAATTATGAATCATCCTCACCAGCTCAATGAAATGTTTATACCACGGAGCCCCTCGCGAGGCTTGTGAAATGATCCCTGCTCTCTACAAAGACAGCAGCTTTATTTTAAACGTACATGTTCTCATTTTCAAATATCAGCATCTGTACCAGAAAAGCAGTGAGTGTTTAAACCATCTGTTCTAATTCTGATCTCCATCAGCCTCCACCTCTGAAACAAAGCAGCCCTAAGTTCCTTTACCTTGGAAGAAGCTCTTGACACGGAGGTAGGAGACAGCGAGACGCAGCACTGACAGCTTGTCCAGTTTGGAGATGACGTCCGGCGGGAACGGCAGCAGGCTGGCCAGCCGGTCCAGCTCTGCGTTGAGCCTGTCCCGGTGCCGCTTGGATGGGTTGCTTTTCTCATTGGCAGAGGATGGCTTCCTGAAGACCAGATTGACGCCAAAAAGTGTGTTTGAGTTTGCGAGTGTGACCGTGGAACAAGAAGATCAAAAAGGGCTTTTGCTCTAAGTGAGAGCAGTGAACATCACTGTGGTGTGATCGTGTTAAACCTTTTCTTTTATATATGATTCTCACACCTTTTAATTAGAGATCCCGGTGTAAATAAACATGGTATTAATTTAATTTAATCTCTAGATTGTTACCAGCTGATATATGCGTTTTATTTGTTGCTCCTTATCGTTGTGATCACAATAATAATATTTGTTTGGACATCAGCACTTCAAGGAAAAACACAAGACCAGACACCGCACAATGCTCCAGTGTCTCATCAATTCTCTCTCTGGAGTAAAGATCTGGACTTTTAGCCAAAGCCAGACTTAATTCCCAAACATTACAGTTAAATCTACTGTGCAGCCATTTTTCCTGACTTGGATATGAAGAGTAGACTGACCGATCTGATTACACACGGAGATCATTCAACGGTCTGTTTTATGTGTGTATTGGATTGGTGTCACAGTTTTACCAGCTGAATTAAACATATACACGTTATGCTCCAAATACTGGATTTGTGCTCCTTTTCTCTAAAACAGAATATAATTAGAATGTTTTTTATTAAACACCAATAAGATGATCACCACCCTAACCCTAACCCTAACCCAACCACGAGTAAATGGTTGAATTAGACATTTCCAGCCAGATAACACCAATCTCCACACTGTTCTTTATTTTAGGTTCTAATTGGATGAGAACTATCATGAAATTTTTATTAAAATCACAGGATCTATAAATAATTAGGCTACATCACTCTTTCATATCTTATATAAAAAAGCTGCTGATCAATTTTCCCATGAAAGCTAAATTAAAGTTTTTAAAGCCTAATTAAAAAAATTATTAAAATTAATTTGGCTGCAATAAAACTGGGAGATTAAAAGCATCAATTCACATATTTGTCCAACATTTGACAGTTTACGGTTCATGTTTTTACTCTGTGAACTTCCTGTCATCCTTTTTGGGTCCTTCAGATTTTTAACGCGTTGCAGGTTTGTGTTTAAGTGTTTGAGCACTTTTTGAACATTGCTCTGTGAAGCAGGGCCCCTTAACTGTTTCTGGATGGGTTTCCTCCTCTTTCTGCCCGCGTACATGCAGTCTCCCGGAGGGATCATGATCCTGCGCTCCTCGGAGGTAACAGGTGCGCTGCGGATAAGAGACAGCTACGTTAGCGCCTTTAAGGCTGCAGACCCTTTCAATGCAGGACGGGACCTCTAAGCAGCACGTTCAGTCTCGTTATATCATTACCTGGGATCCAGGTGACACTTACTGAGCCCATAAAATGAATTAAAATAAACTATACGGGTGTAAACATTCCAACGTCAGGTGGTTTACCCTCCATTAAAATAAAACTAAGTTAACTAAAAGAGCAGATAATAAGGTTTAAATGACCATAAAATTGATTTAAATACTAACCCAGAATATCTGCGGATTAAATCCAGTATACGGTTGGCTTTAGAGTCACGTCCACGTTAAATGTGTTAAAGGGATGCGTCTCACAGGGGTGCACCGGCTCCAGTAATAAATCCAAGAGGGAAATTAAAATAAAGCGGAGAGGTCCTGGTGAGCTCCGAGCTGATGTTTTCATCAGCTTCGCTCTGCTCGCAGCAGATGTTGCGGATTCTTTATACCCAATTCAGTCGCCTTGGCTTCCTCGCGTTTCAGGTGGCGGATTCCTTTGAATGACATGTCGAGCCCTTCGCACGCAACTAGCTGCCTCACAAACAGAGCGCCGGCGCGCGAGAGCGCGCGCGCACACACACACACACACACACACACACACATACACACACACACACACCATGTGCGCTTAGGAGTGTACTGCGTTTATAGGAATTCAACCTTTTGTTGTCACATAACGTTAATTTTAACATCTAATTTTATCTTTAGAGATAATAAATGACTAGAAGGCGTGTTTTGATATTATCAAAGCTGTTACTGATTATTAAAAGTATTAATAGTGATGAAAATACACACATTCCCTCATATTCGGAGTGGATAAACCGCAACCTATGTTTTGAAAGAAAACACCACCCACGTTTTAAATCACATTTTTGTGCAAAAATTGGTCAGGTGTTTTAATTATTATTAATATTTGTGAACTCGTGTGAAAATATTATCGATCAACTTCAGTTTGACGACTATTTGTTTATTTTTTGTGAAGTCCTTGAACGCAGCACTAGTTCAACCAGTCGCGTGCACCACCGACAGAGAGGAGAGGCGGGGCCACGGGCTCAAAGCAGCAGGAGTAGTCGGTAGGTTCCGACCGTCGGAAGCGTTCTTCGGCTGGGCTCACTGTCGACGAAATCCGGGATTCACGTCAAAACACTTTCCTGCTGAACGTGTCGGTGCGCAGGACTAAAGTCGTAGTGATGTGACTGATGTAACGGATGTTATAAGGTGCAAGATGAGTTTTCGAGGAAACAGCTCACGCTACACCGGAAATTGTGTCTACGCTTTCAAAATAAATATCCGATTATATTATAGATTATAAACCGGGGTTTTAACGGTACATGCAAAATATTAGTGCGATCCAGATTGTTTCTATGATTTTAAACTGTTAATTAAAGAATGACATCCAATTAGTAAAGTCGGCTTTTATTTTGTTTTATTTTGAAAATTATTATTGGTAAATAAAACTAATGTGGGTAACTTGACAGACGTAAGCTCTGATTTAGCATGCTTTGTGATTTAGTTCGTTAAAACTGTGAAATTATTAAGTTAAATGTGTAAAGAGGTAAAAATGGACTAGTTAAAACACGTGTCATGAGTTTTTAAAAGTAACATGACTGAGAAGGGAAATCCTGGCAACTTCATTTAAAAACAATTATTAATACTCTAGTCTCAGGGCACTGCGTAATGTTATTGTTATTGTTTATATGCTTTTTTCAGTAAATATCCTCTTCAAAAAATTTCAACATTACACATATTTTTATTATTTTTGTTAGGTTTTATTAAAATGTAAGTGGTCATGTAAATGGGCATAACAAATGTAGGTATGTAATATTTAGTTAGCAAAACTAAATAAACTTAAGAGTTCGTGCGTCGGTTTCCTCCACTGCCCCCTAGTGTCGGTTCAAAACTTTAGCGCCAACAGTCAGCCCATGCATAAGGTTTAATCCTTTCAATTATAATTGTCTTATGCAAATCCTATAAGTTACCAAATGATAGTCAAATATATTTTTCTTGTTTTAATTAAGAAAAAATACACTAGATGGATTTGGCATTTTTACTTTTTTAACAATTGGTTCAATATAAATGTTATGTTTCAAAAGAGTCTGCCAAGTTAAAACTTTTTTGTGAGGCAATAATAAATAATCCCAGTAAGAATTTATGAAGAGTTTGGGGAAAACAGACTCATGCCTTGTGCAATAACTCAACTTTACTTAGAAATAAGACATCTGCTCTTTCTGATTTGCCTGACTGAGTTCAAATAACTTTTATTGACAAACGTGGTGGTTTATCAGAGGAGATGTTTTATTTGTTGTGACAGGTGGAGTTGTGGATCTGTAGTTCTTGTTAAGACTGTCAGATGCTGCCATTAAAGCTACAGGGAGCTTTGGTATCGGTGCAAATCTGCAGGCAACTTTATCCCATCTTCTTTCCAGATTAGCCCCATCTTAAACCTCTGCTAACCCTTCAGGGGCTGACCTTTGCACGCAACTGCGGATGTGTTTATACATTATGTTTGTACACATTAAATACACAATCACAAATACGAGCTTTGAAACTTACACTGATCAAGATATCTTTGGTAGCATCACAGCAGGATTCTAGGAGACACACAGAACGGGACAAGTCTGATTGTAATGGACATTTATAATTAATGACAGGGTCAGTATTGGAAAGTAGTTAACACACGCTTGCTGCTCCTCTGTCACCAGCATTAGGAGCAGCTCTTTTCTATTAGACGCTACGTTGCTGCTTAGAGAGAAGCAAAGCTGCATTTGTACCCAACCAAAACACACAAGTTAGCTCTTAGAGAGAGAGGTGCAGCACACCTGGGCCAACATTCTGCTGTAGAAGAGCTTCATCACTGGGAAAAGATTCAGTCAGGAAATGTTGTTTTTAGCACACTTATAATAAGAATATGTCTCCAAAGTCAGATGTAGAACTTTAGGCTGCTCTAGCTGTTATTTACAGGGAAGATGAATTTAACTATCTGTAGTATTTCTACTATGGTGTGCAACACTTCCTGTTCAGATTTCACAATATTTCAGGTAGAATAGAAGCTGATGTTTATGTGAAGATTTATAAAATACTGTTTTTGTGTGAGTAATTGTCATTGTTCAGAGTAGAGTTGCTTTAATACAGCATCAGTCCTCTTTGGATCTGGCCTCTGTCTGATTAGCTTGTTTGTCTGATCAGAAGTAATACCTGTTTCTCCACACTGAGGTTGTTCAAATAGCAGAAACATTAATTGTTCAGAACTTTTGTGGAATTAATTTCCTTTATCAAATTCACCGTGTGACAACCTGACACACAAAGGGAAGGAAAGTTAGTGGCAAACTTGATCGAAAATCTAACAAGACTGGAGTTAAATCAGCAACCCGCCACAATGACCCTAAAGTGTTTAATACCACATCTTCACTGACTCGTGTTTATTTGGGGACAATAAGCCGATCTCCTGTGAGCGCATATAGGCACAAATCTCAAATCCAGGATGAACTCTGAATGTAACCCGGACCAGTAAAAAGATTTGAAAACAAATAAACGGTGATGCATTACAGGAAGCAGGATAATGAAAACAAGCTATGGATGATTAAGATAAGATTAGGTTTAAATTCGTGTCAAGAAGAATGCTTTGGAGTTATTAAAATGGTGATCAAATCTTTTACTTCCAGAGCAGCATAAAGGTTCTGCTGAGAACAAACCAGAGGCATCTGCTGCTCCTTAAGCAATGAATAAAAACCCAGAGATGACATCACGATCAGCTGAGAGGTCAAGAGTGTTGGGAGGATTATATTTTATTTATATTTTGGATTTGGGTTTTTAGGGTTATTTTACAGTCAGATAAAAAGTTCAAATGGAGATGTTCTCTTTTTCTCTGCCTTCGTCAGTCTTTCTGTAATCTGCTCCATCCCAGAATTTGGTCTCATTGTGTTTTTCAGTAGAAAGTAAAAAGATAAGAGACACAAAGGATGTTGGTTTAATTCAGTAAACAGACAGAATATTAAATAGTGGATCAAAAATGCAACATTTGGCACAATCATCACACTAATCTGTGATATTTCTGACTACTGGACGCACTTTAACCTTTATTTGTAAATATTTTAAACCCATTAAACCCTCAGATCTGCAGCAGGGCGATGGCACTAAGTATAAAGTGACTTATTAAGTCTGGATTTGGATTACACTTTAAAAAATATGCCAACAATGAACCTGCCTGGTTCCGTATTTTAGCTCCAGTCTAATTTCTACATTGAGCAAGCTTCCATTGAAAGGAGAGACGCAACCTGACCATCCAAACATCACAACTTCTCATCTTACACTGAAACAGTTTTGTTTTACCTAATTCAAATCAGAAATGTGCTTTTATATTTAAAATAAATTCTAAAGATTTTACAAGTGGTGCCAAAATCTCTCAGCTCCTCCAGGGAAACCCAAAGTCTTGTGATCTGTCTGCAGGATGTTTATTATGTTGTTACTATAATAATCCCAACCACGGCACGACTACTGTAGTGACAGTTACAAACAGTATTATTTAATGTTATTCCATCTAATCAAAGCCATGTGTGCATGAAAACAACCAGGAGGAAGTTGTGTGAGTCACTCCATTTGCTTCCCACATGCCACAGTCATGTTGATGGATTCCAAATGTGTATCTCTGTCCTCCAGATTCCTGCGACAAGCACGAGTGTGAGCACTCGCTCTGCTCCAGCCAGAGGAGAAAGTGTTCCTGTGGAGGGATGCTTTCTATTAAAGGACCATTTTATATCCAAGTTAGCACAAAATGATTTAAAAATGTCCCCGTGTTGCTCTTTGTCCGTGTTTAGGAAAGTTCAGAGGCTCTTTTCATTTTAGAACACACTTTTCAGCTGATTAGTTTCACACGATAGCAGGTTACTGATACCAGACTCCACAGGTGAGAGGCTGAATTTATGTAATGATGAGGACACAGTCCAGTTTAACAAGACAAGAAAAATAATTTATTTATATTGGTAACTAATAAATATAAATGTATTAGTGTAAAATAACCAGTTACCATACAATGCTGCATGTTGCAGGCTTTAAATGGTTAAACCACCTTAGCTTTACTCTGTGGTTCCATTATAAAAAGCACAATCATGATTGGTCAATTAATTTTTTTTCTGTTTCGAAAATTGTATTTTTAATAGATGAATGCTGAGTTTTTAAAGCGTATACTGACAATATTAAATATATATAAAAACACGTTTTATGTCTTACAACAAAGGTCAGACAGAAAAGTCAGTAAAACATATTTTTATGTTCAAACATTTAAAATACTAGTTATCTTTCCTAACTTTGAGTTTTTGTCAAATGCAAACATTAACTTACACAGAACAAATAAAAAAAACAGGATTAAAATAATTGTATGTATAAATACAATAAATACCCAAAAGCAGTGAAGTGAGAAGAAGAAGAAGCGCTCTGTTGATGAGTTCCTGCATCATTGTGAGTTTGCCGCCACCTGCTGGTTGAGTTTACACATCACACAGAAAGTTTCCAAACTGGTTCGGACCCAATAATAAATAAATGCAAGGGTAAATACAGTACAGGCCAGGCATTGGACACA